GGAGTCTGATGTGGGACTCGATCCCGCATCCTGAGATCATACCTGAACTGAAGGCAGGTGCCCAACCACTGAGCCAACAGGCGTCCCTAAACCTCTGTTTTAATCAATTCTTTGAAGCATCAGCTGGGTCTGTGGGGTGTTCAGACAACAGCAGTTTCTGCCCTTCTTCCCATTGCACCCCTGGCGCCTATTCTCCTGAAAGAGTGAAAATGAAAACCGGGTTGAACCCTTCACATTTTTGTGTTTTCATTTCAGCTATCATGTTCTTAATTTCCAAGAGCTTTTCATTGTTGTTGTTCTAATCTAGGCTCCCTGAAAGCAGAGTGTAAGACAAGGGCTTGCATGTAAGTAGCTTATTTGGGATGTCATTCTAGGGACAGGAATAAGGGCCAGGAGGTAAAAATGTAAAGGAGGAAAAGAAGATATGAGGATGTGTGTTTTTTTTTTCTGGGGGTGGGGTGCAGAGGGAGAATCTCAAGCAGACTCTCCACTGAATAGCTGATGTGGGGCTCGATCCCACAACCCTGAAATCATGACCTGAGCTGAAATCAAGAGCTGGACAGACTGTGCCACCCAGGAGCCCCATGAGGATGTATTTTCAACTTGACCACTGCTCTGGGCAGCTGGTGCTGCCTTCTGTGGAACCTTCTAAGCTTTCTAAAATGAATCTCAGAGCTGGTCCACCCAGGGGGTGAAAAGCAGAGTGAGAGCTCCCATCCCTTACTGGCCCTGGGTGGCCTCACAAGCTTGTGAGTCGTGGGTGGGCAGGGGTGCCAAGAAGAGTGATGTTAGACCCGATCCTTAAGGAGTGGAGTAGGAGACTGGCTCTCATCCCAATCTGAAACTTGTGTCTGACAAAAGGTATCTGTAGCAGGCTGAGTGATGGTTCCCCCGAAGATATCCACGCCCTAACCCCCAGCATCTGTGAATTTGCTGCCTTATGTCGCAAAAGAGATGTTGCAGATGGGATTGACATGGAGACAAGATCCTGGGCTATGTGGGGGGCACTAAACATGGTCACAAGGGTCTTTACAAGAGGGAGGCAAGGAGGTCAGAGAGGCAGAAGTGATGGGGTGGGGAGGATGATGTAACGTAGAGCCATGAGCCAGGGAAGGCAGATAGCCCCTGGGGGCTGGGAAAGGCAGAGAAACCCATTCTCCCTTGGAGGCTCCAGAAGGAACAACCCCTACCCTACTGAACCTTCACAGTAGCTCTTTAAGACCTGTTCAGGACTTCTGATGCTGTAAGAGGATAGATTCATGTTGTTCTCAGCCACCAAACTTGCGGTAACTTGAGATGGCAGCCACAGGAAAGGAACTGGTTGCCAAGGAACCAAATCTCCCACAGAAAAAGGTTGGCGAAAACGTTTGCAACACACATTACAAAGGACATTCTGAACACATAGAGGACCTTTTTTTTTTTTTTAAGATTTTATTTATTTATTCACGAAAGACACAGAGACAGGCAGAGACATAGGCAGAGGGAGAAGCAGGCTCCATGCAGGAAGCCTAATGAGGACTCTGGGACCATGCCCCAGGCCGAAGCAACACTAAACCGCTGAGCCACCCACAGATTCCGAGAACTCCTATTTTTTAAACATAATGAACACACAGATATTATTACTGTGCCAGGCACCGTTTTAAGTGCTCCCCAAGTATTAATTCACTTAATCTTCATAACAACCCTATGGGGTAAATACTATTCGTTTTTTAAGATTTTATTTGAGAGAGAGAGAGAGAGAGAGAGGAGAGAGACTGCGCATGAATGGAGGTGGGTCAGAGGGAGAAGCAGACTCCGTGCTGAGTGGGGAGCCTGATATGGGGCTCAAACCTAGGACTCTGAGAACATGACCTGAGCTGAAGACAGACGCTTCACCAACTCAGCCACCTAGGCACCCTAAGAATATCTTTTTTAAAAAAATTCATGTAAGTCTTTGTGTGGACAGTAGGTGTATGCACAATTTTTATTTTTTTTTAAAGATTTTATTTATTCATGAGAGACATGGATAGACAGAGACATAGGCAGGGGGAGAAGCAGGCTCCCTGCCTGGTTACTTTCAAGAGTATTGTCCAGTTTTCATTATGATTGTGTGGGGTGTGGGTATCTTGGAGTTTACTGAATCCATAGGTTTAAGTTTTTCACCAAATTGGGAAGTGTCTAGCCAGTATTTCTTCAAACACCCTTTTCCAGCATCATGTTTTCTCCTCTTCTGGGATTCTGATGGCACAAATGTTAGACCTATTATTGTCTGGCAGATCTCTGAAGCTCTGCTCATGGTTTTGCTTTGTTGTTTCCTGAACTTTTCCTCTGATCTTGATTAAATTCTCTTGGTTTATCTTCAAGTTCACGGTTTCCTCCATTATAATAAACTATTCAGGGAGTTTAAAATTTTGATTACTGTGTATTTCTGTTCTAAAATCTCCATTTTGTACTATAACTTTTTTCTTTGCAGATTGTTTCTTCATTGTCTACAAATGTTCTTGGTTACTTGCTGGATCACTTTTATAAGAGTTGCTTTAAAGTCTTTGTCAGATAATTTCAACATCTGATATTTCAGTGCTGGGATCTCCTGATTGTTTTTTTCTATGAATTGAGATTTTCCCCATTTCCTGGTATGCCAGCTAATTCTGGATTGTATCCCTGACATTTTGAACACTGCCATTAAACTCTAAGTCTTGTTTAAATCCTATGGAAAATACTGAGTTTCTGCTTCAGCAGGCAGTCAACCTGATTAGCTTGTAGGCAAAGGTCTATTATTTAAAAAAAAAAAATTCCAGCAAAACTGACATAAAACATTACACAAGTTTCAGGTGTGTGAGATCAGATAAAGGTTTTGAAAGCTAAACTGACACTGGAATCATAGCCTTCAGAGTGCAGTTTGGGATGTCAGTTCAACTTTCAAAATCAATACACTGCTTTTTGGATCACATGTGAATGCCTCCCAGTTACTGGCCCGGGATTTGGGTGGTGGTCTATTAGTCTTTGGTCTGCTGAAAAGGATCAGATCCACACATACATAGAGCTTAGCAGTGGACCCAGAGGTACATAAACAACTTAATGAAGTCACTTTCTGAATTCCTTCCTCCCTGTGATCTCTCTGGTACTTTGATTCCTTCTATCTCTAGTTATCTGGCCAGAAGACTACTTTTGCCACTGTGTCTGCATCCAGGGCCAACTGATGGAGGGCAGAGAGAAAAACACAATGGGAATTGGTTATACCCTCTTCGAGACAAAACTGTACGGGAGAGGAAGGGTCATCTCCCCAAGTTTTGGCTCCCGCAGGCTCCCACTGCCAGTAGTGGATGCTGTCACCAGCATGGGATTGCTGGGGTGAGATGGGGGGCAGTGTAAGAGAACACAAAAGAGTAAGAAAGCAATACAAAGGACTTCTGCACTCTCTTGGGTATATTAGAAGATCCCCTTGTACTCCTTGAACCAGACGGAGAGGGCTTGTGGCCTGTCTGCACCCCAGCATTCCTTTTTTTTTTTAAATTTTATTTATTCATGATAGTCACACAGAGAGAGACAGAGAGGCAGAGACACAGGCAGAGGGAGAAGCAGGCTCCATGCACGTGGGACTCGATCCCAGGTCTCCAGGATCGCGCCCCGGGCCAAAGGCAGGTGCCAAACCGCTGCGCCACCCAGGGATCCCCACCCCAGCATTCCTATCCATCATCCTTCCAGGGTGGAGTTTGGGCTGGGGGATACCAGAGGGGGAAAATGGTGAATTATCACTGGTTCAATGGTACTTCCAAGTCTCATCTTCTTCCTAATCCACCTGATGTTTTTTTTCAGAGTCCTCACACAGCTGCTTCATGCGCTCACAACTGTATTTGGTGAAAGAGTCATGGTGGCATGAGCTTGCTCCACCTTATCGGGAACCAGTCCAACTAGTGCTTTTTAAAGTTTATTCTCTACACCCAACATGGGCCTCAAACTCATGACCCTGAGACCAAGAGCTTCTCCCACTGAGCCAGTCAGGTGCTCCCCCAACTAATGCTTTTAATGTAAGGAAATGGTATGAAATATTTTAATTCTCTTCTCGCATCATCATAGATTTCAACTGTAGTAGCAAAAGAACATCTTCCCTGTGTTTAAAGAGAAGACTAAATATGATGATACTGCAATTACCACAAGGCATTTTTTACTAAAATGAGCAGAAGGAGTGCAATAAATGTAGGGATTTGGTTTTCAGTTTTATTTTCAGTAAGAAGAAAAGATAGGACCTTTAACCATTCTTGGGCAATTAATTTCACATTTCACTCATTTTGAATTAGTCTTAGAATACTCTGAAGACTATTACCATCATACAATTGTTAATGTTAGTTTTTCTAAGGGTAACAGAAAGTATCAACTATAAAATGCTGCCAACACTGCCTCTAATCAATGACTTAGGGCTGTGGGTGAAGAGACTTTGTGTATGAATAATAATATATATTATTAATATATTATTCACACAAACACACATTTTGGGAGAGAGAGAATGAGTATGAATGAGGAAGGAGAGGAGCACAGGGAGAGAGAGAGAGGGAGTATCTTAAGCAGGCTCCACGCCCCCACAGGCTTGATTTCATGACCCTGAGATCATGAGCTCAGCTGAAATCAAGAGTCAGATGCTTAACCAACTGAGCGTCCCCACAAGGCGCCCCGAGACTTTATATTTTTAAGACAGAAAGTTGGCAGACTAGGTACCCCAAGAGGGAGAATCCAATCCTTTACAGTAGAGAGTATATGTAGCCAAATAGCAATGTTTATTTAATGAACTCTGTGCTCCAAGGAGAGTGGGTCTTTAGAAGAGAAAAACAAAATGAAATTTTAACTGCAATACCCAGAATCCCAATTACTACAGTGACTTCATATGGATTACCTTAGTCAGCAGTGTTTGATCAAATATATTTCTAACATGTTTGCTAAAAACTAACCCAGCTAAGTGTGATTATGGTGTCAAGAAATACTTCATGATTACAAAAAAAAAAAAAAATATTGAGTATACAGCACTGTAATTTTCAGAATATATGAGTTGATGTTTTATTATTTATATGGTCTTTAAGAAATTTGATACATTTACCAATTAATTCTCTTAATATGTACAGACACAAATAAACGCAAGTTTTATATTTAAGGATTTCTGTTTCTCCCCAGTAAGAACACTCTCTATGGGGGCAGTTTTGTTTTGCTTCCCAACTGCCAAAAATGGCATTTAATAACAGACACAGCTCTCAGCAGAAAAGGCAGATGCTACCTCTAAATAATCCTTCAATGGAAATTATGAAATAAACCTTAAGAGCTACCCATACTTTTTGCCCTGAAAAATACAGCGACTACTTCTAGCGGCTACCATCTACTGAGCATTACAGTGTTCCAGGTACTGTACCAAGGGCTTACAATAGGTTCTACCATTTGATCCTCCTCATGTCCTAGGAATCCTGTCGGCCCAATTTCCAGAGAAGGAAGCAGGGGCTTAGAGAAGCATAAGACCACAGTTGGGAAGCAGGCCAGTCAAGACTGTAGCCCAGGCTGCTTGCTTGCAACTTCTGCTCTCCTCTCTCTGCTGTAAGCTACAAGGACTCAAGGAACCCAAATCCCAGGTCCTTCCTTTCAGGTTATTTTAATAAATATTTAACACTATTTTAATAAATAGTGTTAAAAAGCAGGTGTAAATGAGAACAAAGAAGGTCAAAAAATCCTCCAGTGAGCCCATTAATTCACCCCAATCCCCAAACCTCCTTTACTATTTGATGTTACTTATTTACTTATTTTATTTAATTTTATTTATTTATTTATGTGGGACAAAGAGAACCAGAGACATAGGCAGAGGGAGAAGCATGCTCCTTGCGGGGATCCTGATGCAGGACTTGATCTCAGGACCCTGGGATCATGACCTGAGCCAAGGGAGACACTCAGCCACTGAGCCACCCAGGCGCCCCTGATGTTACTTTTCTTAATCAAGAAAACCACCTTGCAAACAACAGACATCTTAAGAGAAAGTCATGTAATAAAAAGTACCAAGAACAAAATCAGGCTCATCAGGCTCATCTTACATTAAATGAATACAGTATATCTCAGTCAAAAAAATCATTAATTCTCGAGAAGTTATACACTTCAAGAGGAACAATGTATATTCATATAATATTTTACTCACTGACTTCTCTGAAACATGCAAAATTTCATGTGGCTGACAGAATTGTCCAGGTTAAAATGTTGCTCAACACGACAAAGTCCTAACAAAAAATATTTTAATGTAGGAAGCAACATGTGAACATTACATTGAGATGGTAAAACTGAGGTTACAATTATACGATAAATATCAAATGATATCCTTCTGGCTTAATGGAAAAAATAACAGTTGTGACAGTCATGTTCAACACCTTGGTTAAGTACAGGGAGAAACAGGCAGGAGTGGCACAGACATATGCAAAGATTTAACAGTTCAAATAATCTTTAGCCCTTCTGAGAAAATATAGATGGAAAATCTGTAGCAAATACTTGCGTAATATGGTGGTTCAGTCCACTAGTGATCATCTGTTCATGCGCTTCAAGTAAATGCAGTTGTTTTGAGCACTGGAAACTAGATTTAAAGCAAGGCCCTGCTCAACAAGCTAATGATACTACAAATCCCTTACATTCAAAAATACAGTTTAAGTTTGGAAAAGTTTTAGGTAAAGCATACTCATTTCCATGATTACTTTTAGATAGAACTGAGACTACATTACTATATTATACATAGTCAAGTACACTGCTGTGCACAGGTAATTCCAATTACCATATTTTATGTTTGTTGGTCATCAATAGCACAAACTTTATGCTCCAAAAGAAATACATCAATCCAGCAAAATGGTTAAATTTAATTTTCTTTTAAAGACAGATTAAATTTAAGGAAGAACTGCCTTTTACTGATATCTCATTTTCAAATTACTGGTACAAACTTACCAAAGAATTATTACGTATTTTGCTCCACATCAACCTGCAAAAGGTTTCCCAACACAGATGCATCATTTCTTGTTCAATTTTCAAAAATAAATAAAGGCTTTCTACCTGAAAGCATTTACGTTCCTAGCTCTCTAAAGTAAACATTAAAAAACAAAGTACAAAAAATGATCTCCCCACTTCTGAAGAGCCCACTTAGTTACATAAAGTATTTTCTTTCCCAACACTTTTTCTGATTCAAAAGATATTTACTTCCTAAGAACATGAAGGATCTTCATTTCAAACCCGTCAGTCTGTTTCCATGGCAACATTGCGGGATTCCTTGGCTACCATGAGTCGCATTAGTTGACTGTGGAATTTCTCAATCTTCTTTACATCTTGGGCTTGGTCTGTTCTATACACCAAACACTGTCAGAAAATTTAAAAGTACACATTAACTGTGTAAAACTAGATTATCAACAACATAGCAAATGTAGGATTGGGTACAAATAGAGAGTTCTTCCTACTGTGTTTTGCTCTATTCCCTCTAGAGGTCATACTAAGGCAGTTAACACTCAAGTTTCTAAGCCCCCAGCAATCGCGTTTCTTTAGTATCTTATAGTATTTCCAACTCCACTGCTGTAAGCAAAAAACTAAATGAACTCTAATAGAAGCTCCTCAAAAATGACCAATTAAGTAATATACGAAGTCCTGCTGTGGATCTGATGAGAATTGAAGGCTTAGAATCAGATTATTTTCTCCCTGGGATCTGGTCATGATTATCTAAGTTAAACTGGGTTTTAAATTGAGTTAATTCAACTGGGAAAAGCATACCAATATTAGGATGGCTTTCCCTACTCGTTAAATTGGGAAATGGGGCAGGGGTAGTAATGGTAATTTAAGAAAAAAAAAAATCCACATCCCTTGCTCACAGCTGGTCATGATCTAAATTAAACCAGATAAATCTGTCCAACCTTGATTTTCCAAAGGCTTACACAATTTTTAATCCAGACCAAATTCTTCCTTGCTATAAGTTAAATTCTTCAATAGATAGATACTTAAGATCTGCTTATGGTTTCTCCGAAACTATTTGTTCTTCTAGAGTCTTCAAAAATATCAAATTTAAGCTGGCAACTCTTTCCCTCATTTTGTAATAAAATGTCCATTTTTCTTTAGCCCATTTTAAGGCTTCACATGAGTCTTATAGGGAATGAATGATCCTACAATAATATTCATCAACTTAAGTAATTTATAATTCAATCTTATCATCCCTGACTGGTCTGAACTCATTTTGCCTTTAAAAATCACTCAAAATTGTTATCCATATATTGCAGAAATTTGTGTAACAATCTTGTAAAGAGGCCATAATAATTTCCATCATTTCAATTTCAGTACACCTGCTGTGTGAGGATCTATCTACATTGTCACTGCAGTTTGAGAGAAAAAATTTCAGATTCATATAAAATATTATACATCAGTTATGGGATTAGAAGAAATGATGCATAAATAGGATTATAAAAAAGTCAAAGCCACATGGTGATTATAATAAATGTAGCCTAAGACTGAGTTTCTGAAGGAATTAGTAGTTAAAACAAATTAGCAAGGGAAGTGTACACACTTTTCAAGAGTTATTAGAAAATAGTGTTTTTACCACTGGGAGTTGGTTCATATGTTTACTATTTAGGAGGATGGTTTTGTGTTTTAGCCTCCTCCAAATAGGGACCAATTCCAGTAGTTTTAAGAAAGAAAACCGAAGGCATTTTTCATATTTTGATTTTGTCACAGGAATCATCAATGTGACAAAGTTCTTGGCACTACTGCCATCCCTGTATCCTTAATTATGTTTAATCGTTACCAGATGCAAAGTCATCATTTTGAGATAAAGCCTTTTGTATCAAAATAAGTTCTGCACTTTTTCCTATTTTAAAACAGGACATGCCAACTTCTCCTCAGCAGATATACCTACGCTCTGTGTGCCCCTCACAACTGGGACGGTCCTCAATGTGAAGGCTCCAGGCTCAAGCACACATGTGTGGATGTACTAAGAGGCAGGCACTGATGCTAGGTACTTTCACCTGTGTGGTTTACTACCCACACCTCAATGAGGGAAGCAGACTACCACTATGACACTTTACATAAGGGACTGAGGCCCATAAAGCCAAACTTTTGGCCTGAACTTTTCCAAGGCCGAAACACTGGTAATGGCTAAATTAGGATTCAAGTCTCTTCACTCTAGGTCTAGCACACTACAGCTCAAGGTTCTCTTCATTCTTCATATTTTCAGTTACTTCAAATTTAATTGGTTCCTGGAAGACATGGTAATCATTAAAAGTCTGAATTTATGCAACCTCACAATGGAACCGTGAACACAAATATATAAAATCTAACATACGACCAGACAGATAGGGATTTTTAATCACTATGAAATTTTTAGAGAATTAATCTATTAAGAGCCTGTTTATAAGTGCTCTCTGGGTCAGGACACCATGCTAGTCACTGGAAACGTCTTTCTGCACCTTAGAGTCCCGAAACTCATAATCTACTACTAAAAAGACACACTTGATAAAACAATGGTGATACAGCACAAAAAGAGCCAAAAGAAAAGCAAGAGATGAAGAAATCCTTCTAGATGGGTTTTGAAAAGTCAGTCCCCATCTCGCCACCTAGGCCAGCAGTGGGATTCAGTGCCACAGTAAGAGAAAGGGACCAGCAGAGGCAGAGGTCTAGGACAACCCACCTCGTCTCAGGAGTCCCACAGCAACATGTGACAGACGGTAGAGGGGATGGGAGGCTGCAGTGACATCGTGAGTGATGAGGAGCCACTAAGTAAGCAGGGTTGTAACCACCGAATGTGCATGTTCAGAAATCCCTCTGGACAACTGGATCAACTCTCCCTCTCTCAACTCTCCCAGAGTTGATCCCCCTGGACAACTGGACAGCAGGGACACATTCGGGAGACTGGTCTAGCAGAGGAGCCAGGTGAGGGTGACACCCTCATCTTCAGGGAGCCACAGCAAAGATAGAGTGACCATGACAGGAACTGAGACGAGGGTGATCGAGCCAGTAGCTCCCACATGCCTGGGAGAGCACCTGGAGCATGTCAAGGATCAAAATACAAGCTCTTCAAGCTTGTCCAAGGGCCAGGGACATAAGAACAGGAGAGTTAACAGGAAGCAGAAGTTGGAGCAGAGACAAGGAGTCCCATTCCAGACAGGCTACTTGTGAGCGGCACCAAGGTAAGGAGGCCTAGCAGAGAGCTAGTCAGGAAGTCAGAAGAAAAATGTGAGCCAAATGTACAAATCTGGAGACAGACCTAGATTCAGGCAGCCCTGGGCTCCATGACTGAATGGGTGCCTCCAGAAGCAGTAGGAAAAGATGACCCAGGACAGAATCCTGAAGAAACCAGTATTTATCAGCAAAGAGTAATAAGACAGAAACAGAAAAATAAGATAAAATGGAGCCACAGATGCCAAAATAATTCCCACCAGAGTGGTTTTCTGTATCAGAAGCAGCAAGGAAGTCCAATAAGATGTGAACCGATGAGATTATCAGGTTTGGAAATTAGCGGCTGCTGTGGGGCTCTCAGCAAGAGTAGTTCAGTGGACAACTGCTGCATATAGCCATCAGGTGGCAGAGGGTCTTGGAAGTGATGAGACTGCGCAGCTAGGGAGGAGGGAAGGCACTACACAAAGCCATCATTTCCTCCCCCCATGCTCACAAGGAGCCCTCTATCCCATGTCCACTTTTAGTCTCTATGCTCCTTTGCTTAAGATCTGAAGAGAGTGATTAGGTTACACTTGACATACTGCATCAACAAAGTAAGTTATTTCCCCGAGCCCATGAACGTGGCTTCTAGAATGAGGTTTTTGACTTTGGAATGAAATGCAAAATAAACATTCTAATGGGTAATCTCCATAAATTCTATGTAAATAATCTCAAACAAATCTGGAAGTATGCAACAAATAAAAATGTATACTTACAACTAAATCATCTGTTACTTTAATACACAAACTCCCATCAGAATGCCTATATTTGAGAACCACACGTGCCTGAAATAAAAATACATATTTAGAAAAAATGACGTCAGAAAGCATTTCTCATAAATAATTTAGTCTTCGGGTATGCTAAAAAGGATCCTTTCAGAATTAACAGCCAAAACATCTAAAGGCATCTTTACTGTAATCACCATTATTGAAATGAGATACAAAACAGTATTCTAGTTCATCCTATTGCTATAATTTCTTAAAAAGACTTCTTAGAAAGTTAGATATTTATTTGCAACGTTTGAAGAGATATACTGAAAATTCCTGAAACACATCCATATTCAGGGAATGTCCATGAGACTCTTAGGGTGGTTTGGCATTAAGAATACCCAGATCTTGAGGCGTCTGGTGGCTCAGCTGGTTAAGCATCTCTTTTTTTTTTTAATTTTTATTTATTTATGATAGTCACACACACAGAGAGAGAGAGAGAGAGAGGCAGAGACATAGGCAGAGGGAGAAGCAGGCTCCATGCACCGGGAGCCCGATGTGGGATTCGATCCCGGGTCTCCAGGATCGCGCCCTGGGCCAAAGGCAGGCGCCAAACCGCTGCGCCACCCAGAGATCCCCCATTTTTATTTTTTTAAATGACAGATTCAAAATAGCGTACTGCAGTGGAGTCCGTTTTTTTGCTGACCAATATAAATAACTCTTGTTTAACTGGCTGTTTAAAAAAGTGCCTGTATCTACAAGCCAAAATAGGAACCTAATTTTTAAATGGTTATGATGTAAAAACAGAAGCCTCAAGACAATTCTGGAAACTAAAGGAACAGGGCTGTGAAGAGCTGTCACCTCAGCTTTTCCCATGTCTCTGCTCCCCTGGGATTGGAGGGGTAGGGGTGGGAAAAGGCACAGCACTCTGAGATGTGTTTTGATGAAGGAAAAAAGGGAACTCACCAAGCACTTACACAAATTACAATAATTAGATTATCTGTAGATACCTGATTATATATATTGGGCTATTTAAATCAATTCTACGTGTTTTAAAAAATTCAGTTCTCCAAAAACAAAAAGAAACTTTAAAATGTATTAAGCCTAACAACTATGTAAAGTTTTAACTCTCAGTTAGAAAAACGCTGGTTGGCTTCATGAGAAGTCAGAGTTAAAATCTCCAAGGTACTATCAGAGCATCTATTTTGTGACTGAGGGGCATCTAAGTTACCAGGTCAGATGCCACAGAGAGAAAGCAATCAAGATTCTTGCTCTCTTAGGAACTTTGAACTCAACCAACCAAAGTAACCAAACACAAGACAGCATGAATGAAGTCCTTTTATAGGGGGATATACAGGTGAAATGCTCAAAGAGAAAACAGTGCTTTAAGTTGGGGGAAGGGGACCTGTTAAAAGGCTTCACAAAGGGTGGCCGTTGCAACATGCATGCTTCAGGGAAGAGGGTAGGACAGAGGTGAAGCAGCAGTGTGAATGAAGACCTAAATTCTGAGGATGCTGGATGGGGTGGGAGGACAAAGCCAGAGAGGCTGGAGAGGGTCACACTGTGGACTGGGAGTCTGTGCTTTACCCGGCGATCAACGGGAAACCAGTATTTAAGTGGGAAACGGAAGGAATTCCATTTCTGTTTTTGACAGTTGTGGCACGAGTGAAGGAGGGATTAAAAAGGCAGATGGACTGAGAGGTTGTAACGTGGTCCAGCAGTAATGCCACCTTCAATGAGAGCAACGTGAGAGAGAATGGTAAGGGGTGACAGGTACACTCGACAGCCCAGGAGGGTGGGAGAGAAGACAGAGAATCCTGTAAAACAGGTTCCGAGTCTCCTATTGTTCTGGCTGTGTGGACTAGCAGAGACAGCACAGACTTGGGGTTTAGAGAACTGGGTTCAGGTATTAGCTTTCTCTCTTAGACCAGGCAATCCAGTTAAGGCATCAAAGACTGTCCATCAGTCTACCTCCAGACACTGTCTTGACTGCTCACATAAATCATATCCGTAAGGACGTGTCATGCAAAGTGCCTGTCACATACAAGGCACTCCAGGACACTGCTGGCCAAGGTCCTCTCCCCATTCCTCCCCTCCCCTATCTAAAAATCAGAGCTGAAACCCAGCAAAGTTTCTAAGCCCCGGACTTCCCCGTGGGGTGAAGAGCTGAGAAGCTCCCCATCCTGCCCCTTCTAGACCGGCTCTGTTCACAGCCCACCTTGTGTTCACCTTCCTACCACATTCTTAAAGCAGGACTGCTCTTGATGTCAGGGTTTCAAACATTCTGTGTACTGTGGGCAAACTTCTGGACAAAAATCCTGTATCGTTTTCAGGGTGCGCTGCTTGCGTGGATACACATGTCCCTACAACAAGGGGGGGGGGGCTGGAGGTGGTGTCAACCCAACGGGAGTGCCAGAAACCCTGTCATACACAAAATACCCGATTTCAAACATAACCTAACTCATTTCATCATCTGCTACTATTACATCATTTTATTGTAAAGAACGGATAAACACTGTTTCAGGGCTTCTTGTTACTCATCTAGGTCTAAAAACCTACCAAGACCTTTTCTTTTCTTTCTTTCTTTCTTTCTTTCTTTCTTTCTTTCTTTCTTTCTTTCTTTCTTTCTTTCTTTCTTTCTTTTTTTTTTTTTTTTGACTGGCGAGGAGCTATTTTAAACCGTCTGTGGATCTGACACCAAGATAAGTGAAAACCGGAGAGGAAGAGAAATCAAGGTCTGAACGCTGCAATCCCCGTCACTGGGGCTTCTGGGCCCTTTCGGAAGGAGCTCAGGCATCTATTCGTGGCAACGTCTGCGGGGGCTACGAATGGGCCCCTACGCTTCTGTGTCGGGGCGTTTCCCTGAGAAGAGGGTGCAAACACGCTCGTATACTCGAAGCACTGACCTCCGACTGAGAAAGGCCCTCGGGTCTAAGGGGTGTGCACGCCTCCGAGCTGGCGCGGCCTTCAGGGCCTGGCGGCGGCGGCGGCACGTCCCCGCAGTCCGAGGCGCGAGGGGCCGCGACGCCGCAGACCGGCGGGGAGGGGTCTGGAGGCCGCCGCCGCAGGGGGAGGAGCCGGCCGGCAGAGACACGTAAACCACCCGCAGCACCACGGAAGCTCGGGGCTTGGGGGCGGGGAAGGCGGCCCGGGGCGCCCTGGGGGACCCGCCGAGACCCCTCCCGAGCCTCGGGGAGGAGCCCGTGGATACCACGACGCCCGGCGGGGTCGGGCTGGGCTCACCCCCCGCACCTCTGGCGGCCGCGCGGACCGCAGGGAAGACATCCTGACCCGGGGCGAGCCAGCGGCCCCGCGGGGACGCACCTTCATAGGGTCGGCGAGGTAGAGTTTCTCGGCCGCGCGGCTGAACTCCTCCCAGGTCTGGTACTGCGGCATCGTGGGTCCGCAGCGGACGCAGGGAGGGGGCGCGGCCCGGCCCACCTACCACCTACCTCGGGCGGCCAGAGACCGGTGCGGGGGGGAGGGGGGGCGCCCAGCGGCCCAAGATGGCGGCGCCGCCTCGCACCACCGCCTCGTCCCATTGGACAGCCCGGCCCGGCCTCGCCCAATGGAAAGGAGGGATGCTGCCGGGAGGGGCGGAGCCCCGAGCCGGCGGCTCTGGGAGCTCGCGGGAGAAGTCGAGAGCGGGGAGCCGGGGGGAAGGTGCGGACAGCGCCCCCGTCCGGACCGGAGGAGCGAGGGCGGGACTGAGTGGTCAGGCCCGGGGTTCCTGCGGCCCCCACGCGGCGCCTGCCCGCCCGCAGCCTGGCCGAGAAGGGGAGACGCGGACGCAGGCGCGCAGCGGGGCAGTGTGTGCGCTGGAGCCCCGAGGAGGCGCGGGCGCGCGGGGCCGGGGCGCGGCCGCTGTGTTCCAGATCTCGGGTGGACGGCGGGTGTGGGCGTTAGGGGAGGGGGAGAGGAAGCGGGAGGAGGCTCTGCAGGCAGCGGGGTGACGTGGAGGAGCACCCGGCCTTCATCAAGTGGACGGAGGTGTATCTTACAGGGAAACACGCCGGCTTTAAGCCTGCAGCCCGGGGGCACCTGGGTGGCTCAGCGGTTGAGCGTCTGCCCTCCGCTCGCTCGGGCGCGATCCGGGGGCCTGGGATCCGGGCCCGATGCAGCTCCCCGCAGGGGGCCTGCTTCCCCTCTGCCTGTCTCTGCCTCTGTGTGCCTCTCATGAATGAATACATAAAATCTTAAAAAAGAGACATATAGTGTGATGCACTCTGACTAGGCTATACGTATACACACGGGTCACAAGGCAACACGCCCAGGAGCACAGTCAGGAAGGGAAGTCCAGAAAGTCCCATCGTGCTACTTTGTATTTAACCGCCCCCCACTCCCCCCCGCCGCCCCCCTCCCCCCAGGCCGGCACTGGTCTGCTTTCTGCATACTAGATTAGTTTTTCCTGTCCGCTACATTTTATGGGGCTCCAGCTGCACACCCACCCCCAACTACATTGCGAACCCAAAGGCAGGGAGACCTCTTGAGATGCTCCTCCAGGAGTAGAGGCAGGGGTGCCAGGGATCTGAGTTCGGGCCCTAGCAGGGGAGTGGACAGGTGCATGCAGACTTGGGGAGGGGCCTGCTGAGTCATTGGCCCAGACCAACGGAGGCTGGTGCCACTGGCTGGCACAGGGGAGAGAAAACAAGAGGTGGGGGAGGCTGGGGAAGACCATGCGGGTGGAGCCGTCTGGTAGCCAAGCTGGATGTCTCCATCTGAAACTCCAGCAGGGGTGTGAAATAGGGCGTCATAGATCCCTCCTCCAGGGAACAGGCACACGAACACAGGGTGAGAGAGAGGGAGCAGAGCCTGCAAGAGGCAGAGGAGAGCTTGTCAGATAAAAGGAGGCCGGGAGGGTCTGCGACAGGCACAGGTTCTAAGGAGGGAGGAACCAGTCTGATCTCAGGTGGCAGATGGGGCACAAGTACACCGAAAGGAGTCGACTGATTGCACTCATTGGTAACCTCGGCCAGAGGAGCCTCAGTCACACTGGGGTCTGGGTGGAATTGGCCGGAAGAGGTGGAGAAGTGGAGGCAGCTGCTTTACACGCGTCTGAACAGACCCCCAACAATACGCAGAAGAGATCAGAACGTGGCCTGAAGACATTACTAAAGAAAGAGTATTATTTTTCTTATTTTATTTATATTTATTTTTTTATATTTATTTTATTTTTTTTTTGTAGGTCCATGCCCAGCATGGAGTCCAGCCAAGGGCTTAAACTCAGGACCTGAGCTGAGGTCAAAATTCAAACGTTTAACCGACTGAGCCACCCAGGTACCCTGGAAGAGTGTTATTTTTTATTTTTATTTTTATTTTTATTTATTTATTTATTTATTGATTGATTGATTGATTGATAGTCACAGAGAGAGAGAGAGAGAGAGAGAGAGAGAGAGGCAGAGACTCAGGCAGAGGGAGAAGCAGGTTCCATGCACCAGGAGCCCGACGTGGGACTCGATCCCGAGTCTCCAGGATCGCGCCCTGGGCCAAAGGCAGGTGCTAAACCGCTGCGCGACCCAGGGATCCCGAGTGTTATTTTTTAAGATGGAATGAGTTTGTGCCTGTTTGTGACTTTAAGAGAAGGAATCCTAAGAGATGTGAGGGCTTATCAATACAAGGGAAGAGGAGAAGAAGATCTAAGGGAGAACAGGAAAGGGAGGACAAGAGATAACAGGTGCATGAACGGGAGGAGGCCCCCCACTGTCCTGGGGGCAATGGGGAGGAGGAAAAGCTGAGTGACATGTAGGTGAGAATCTACACAGGAGGGCAAGCATTTATTTGGAGCCCTGAGAAGATTTGGAAAAGCCGTCATAAGAAATGAGTAAGGAAGCAGACCAGAAACCCAGTATGTCCAACAGAGCTGAAGGCCCAGGTGGAGATCATACTCCTGGAAGAGCCCTAATCTGCACATTTTGGGATCTCTTTCCATTACCATCCAGAAGTCTGGCTCTTGCAGTGGAAAAGACACAAAGTAGGGATTTGCAGTGTACATGAGACAGGAAGACAAGTGGACAGCAATGTTGAAGGTACTGGCAAGAGCATGATTGAAGTGATAAATCACAGGATCTAGGCTAGGTTGGTGGGTATTTAACTGGTTCAAAAGAGAGTTTCAGGGACGCCTGGTTGGCTCAGTGGTTGAGCATCTGCCTTTGGCTCAGGGCATGATCCCAGGATCGGAGGATCGAGTCCCACATCAGGTTCCTTGCAAGAAGCCTGCCTCTCCCTCTGCCTGTGTCTCTGCCTCTCTGTGTGTGTCTCTCATGAATAAATTAATAAAATCTTTAAAAAGAGAGAGAGCGAGGTTCAGGGACCAAGGTGTCAAGGACATCTGGAGGTTGGATATTAGGAAAGAGGAGCTGAAGTTACAGTTGGATGAGATTTCAGAGGAGCAGTAGTTCCTGGTGAGGCTGAGTTATCCATACTTAATGAATGTCACCAATAAGAAAGAGGATGGGATGAAGAAGATGACTAGGGGCCAGGGACTTGGGTATTGAGAATGGGGTGGGAGAGCAGCAGTGAGGGGCAGAGAGGGCAGGGTCGGGAAGAATGACCCTCTGGGAGGAGGGGTTTTTGCCTGGAGGTGAAGACAGTAGAACTTGAGACAATGACACCTTTGCCTTCTGTCACAATGAGGGACATAATGTCTACCTTGGGCAAGTGTAAGGCAGATCCAGTCCTTGCCTCCTAGAGACCATAGCTTTGGGAGGAGGGGACAGTGGATCAGGGATTTCATTGGTGAGGGTGCCCAGCACTGGGGGTTCCTGCATCCCTGAGCTTGGCGCAACTCCAGCCCCTGAAGACAGAGAAACCAGGATGGTGTGAGGGGAACTGCCCTGGAACATTCCAGTGTCCCCCCCACTACACTCAATGCATTCTCTAAAGCAGGTTGTTTTCCAGCTGTAGAGACATGGCTTGGGAAAGGCTATCTGAGAGTGCCCCTTATTAATTGTACTTGGCTTCATTTTCACACCCATGGATCCCATCTGGGCATTAAAACAACCCTGTGAGGGCAGTTCTCCAGCCCTTATCACAATTCTGAAAATCTGAAAAGCTCCGACAAACAAAAGTATCTTAGTAACTCCATTGGTAGAAAAGTTGACCTCTTAGAAGGTTGTTTGGAGTCTTTAATTGTCCCACCTGGTGTGTTTGAGGACAGGGTGGAGCCCGGTCTTTGCTTGTGGCATCACATGGTGCATGGCAAGCGTGCCATATTCCCTTTGTGTAATCCAACAAGCTGTGGATTCCCAAACACATGTGACTTCAAGGATTCTGGACAAGGGATTATGGATCTGTGCGACTGTCCTCTCTAGCTGATGAAGAAACCAAGTTTGAGGGGTGCCTGCCCGGCTTAGCCCGTAGCGCATGAGATTCTTGATCTCATGGATGGGAGTAGAGATTACTTAAAAAAAAAATCTTGGGGCTCCTGGGTGGCTCAGTGGTTGAGCATCTGCCTTCAGCTCAGGTCGTGATCCCGGGGTCCTGGGATCAAGTTCCGCATCAGGCCTCCCTGAAGGGAGCCTGCTTCTCCCTCTGCCTATGTCTCTGACTCTCTCTGTGTCTTTCATGAATAAATAAATACAATCTTAAAAATAAAGATAAACTCCAAAAACCCAAAATCTTAAAAAAAGAAAGAAGAAAGAAAGAAAGAAAGAAAGAAAGAAAGAAAGAAAGAAAGAAAGACACCAAATCTAAGAATAAATTATACTCCACAGACTGACTGGCACAGGACTTTACTCTTCATTGGGCAGCCAGTGGCAAGCCAGCAGGTGTTAAACACAATAGGAAGTGGTATGATTAATTTTGATTTTTAGAAATTGTAACCAGTAGTAAGAGGGGAGCTGGACCCATGGAAGGGAGCCTGGGCGCAAGGTGGAAACCAAAAGCCTTTGCCTCCTTGATCACTGTCCTGTCTTCAGGATTCCCAGCATTGCACTTCCATTGATCCCCTGAGCTGGGTCCCCACTGACCTTCACGTTGCCCTTCTCCCAGGCAACTCTCAATCCCTTGACTAGATTATTCAGCTGCGCTTAAGGCACTGGCCACCCTGCCGTCTTAAAACCTCCCCAGCCGCTGGCTTTTCTGACCTCCTTCTCCCTTGCCTGCCTTCTCCCCTTGGGGCCTTACTGCTCTGGCTCTCTGCTGGTCCCCAGCGCCCCCAGCTCCGCCAGCAGTGGGCCAGAGGCACCAGATGGAGCTCACCCTCTATGGTTCTTCCTGGGCCATACGCACCCGTCCCGGATTTCTGCTCAGCTCTGCCCTCCTCCCTGAGCCTGACTCTTGTATCCATGCCTGTCAGGCCCTTGGCTAACCCAAGTTCCACTTGGGGAGATGAACGTAACTTCTCAGCAAATCGCAGCAATTTATGAGCGATGCTTGTGATGCCTTCTTTTTTGCCTATTTTACTATTGCTCTTGGCAAATTAAGCCACTCCTATCCTGGGTTTGACCACCAGGAATTCAGTACCTGTGCCTTACAGACCTTCTA